AACGGACAGCAAACGTGGGACACTGTGAGCACTGCGGCTTTGGGAGGAAGAGAAGGGCTCAGGCGTCCGGCACCAGGCAAGAAGTTTTCATGATCTCAGCCATCATAGAATCACAGAATTGTTGGAGTTGGAAGGGACCTTCTAGAGATCATCTAGTCCAACTCCCCTGCCAAAGCAGGGTTGCCCAGAGCACATCACTCAGGAGCATCCAGGTGGGGCTTGAAGATCTCCAGAGAAGGGGACTCCACACCCTCCCTGGGCAGCCTCTGCCAGGGCTCTGCCACCCTCACCCCAAAGAACTTCTTCCTCACATTGGAGTGGAACTTCCCATGGCCATCCTCCCTCAACCCACCCTTTAGATACTTGGAAGCATTGAGAAGGTCTCCCCTCAGCCTTCTCTTCTCCAGGCTAAAGAGCCCCAGCTCTCTCAGCCTTTCCTCATCAGGGAGATGCTCCAATCCCTCCATCCTCTTTGTTGCCCTACGCTGGACTCTCTCCACCAGTTCCCTGTCTCTCTTGAACTGGGGAGCCCAGAACTGGAGGCAGGATTCCAGTTGTGGCCTCCCCAGTGCAGAGCAGAGGGGGAGAATGACCTCTCTCCACCTCCTGGCCACACTCTTCCCTACGCAGCCCAGGGTTCCATTGGCCTCTTGGCCACAGGGGCACATTGCTGGCTCATGGAGAGTTTACTATCCACCAGGACCCCCAGTTGCTTCTCCTCAGAAGTGCTCAGAATTCTTTTTTCTCAGAAGAGAGAGAACTTCTCAGCAAGCTTTCTAATTTATATTGAATGTGACATTCATGGTATGCAATAATCCTGTTGGCCAGCTTGGGTCAACTGTCTGGGTCTCTGATCAGGAGGAATTCGTTAGGAGCTCTCAGTCACTCATCTCCTCTAATGTCAAAGGCTGCATCTCTGAGGTCTCTGCATTTCCATCTGTGGTGCTGGGTGCTGGCGAGCACCGTGGCAACGATGCGGAGACCATCACTTCAGCATGGGCACCAGCTATAAATAGGCACCTTGATGTCACTGGTATAAAAAAGCAACAAGTGAGAATTAAATAGTTTCCCAAGAACAAGTACCAGCCTGGGATGGATGGATGTCATCTATACCCTCTTGGGGAAAGGGATTTTGCTAAAAGTGGGATGTCTTTTTTCTTTTTCAAATAGAGCCACCAGGTGCTTTATCACAGAATCACAGAATCTTCATGGTTGGAAGGGATCTTTGAGATCATTGAGTCCAAACCCAACAATCTTGGGCACTAGAGCATGCCCTGAAGTGCCACGTCTACATGTTTCTTAAACACCTCCAGGGATGGTGACTCCACCACCTCCCTGGGCAGGCCCTTCCAGGGCCTGACCACCCTCTCAGGAAAGTCATTCTTACTGATATCTAATCTAAACCTCCCCTGCCCCAACTTCAGACCATTTTCTCTGCTCCTGTCATTATTCCCTTGGGAGAAGAGGTGAGCACCCACCTCTCTACGCCCTCCTTTCAGGGAGTTGGAGAAGGCAATGAGGTCTCCCCTCAGCATGCTCTTCTCCAAACTCAACATAGAATCATAGAATAATTTGGGTTGGAAAAGACCCTTGGGGTCATCTATCCTACTCTACAAAGTTCTCCCCTACACCATATCCCCCAACACCACATCTAAACGGCTCTTCAACACATTCAGGGACGGCGACTCAACCACCCTGGGCAGCCTATTCCAGTGTCTGACCCACTCTTTCTGTGAAAATGTGTCCAGTTCCTTCAGCCTCTCCTCGTATGACTTGTTCTCCAGACCCCTCACCAGCTTGGTGGCTCTCCTCTGGACACGCTCCAGCACTTCAGTGTCCTTCCTGTCTGCTCTGATACATGCCCTCATGGGAAGAAGGGATGATTTTGAATTCAAGGATGACCCAAATCTTGATTTTCGTACATGAAAACCACCAGGTAAACACTGGTCTGACCAGAGCGTTGCCTTTTACCAAGTTGGAATTGATGGTAAAATTAAGTCGCAAAGACTAAATGCAGCTCGATGGTCTTTGCCCGTGAGGGGGTGGGTGGGTTTTGCAGCCTTTTTTTTTTTTCTGTCACGCATCTGTGTTATCCTTCAGCCTCTCCTCGTATGACTTGTTCTCCAGACCCCTCACCAGCTTGGTGGCTCTCCTCTGGACACGCTCCAGCACTTCAGTGTCCTTCCTGTCTGCTCTGATACATGCCCTCATGGGAAGAAGGGATGATTTTGAATTCAAGGATGACCCAAATCTTGATTTTCGTACATGAAAACCACCAGGTAAACACTGGTCTGACCAGAGCGTTGCCTTTTACCAAGTTGGAATTGATGGTAAAATTAAGTCGCAAAGACTAAATGCAGCTCGATGGTCTTTGCCCGTGAGGGGGTGGGTGGGTTTTGCAGCCTTTTTTTTTTTTCTGTCACGCATCTGTGTTAACTGCATTCGGTGCCCTGAGCTTGAGAGACTTATAATTCCTATTTAAGGAGTTATTGTGAAAATTGAGGGACAAGGGCTGTGACAGGAATCCCAGAGAATGCATGCTCCTTGTCAATGTGAATTAATTAGGCACTGACGGATTTGACACCGGAATTAATCACGTCCACTTACACTTAATAGGAAAATTCACGGTTGAAGGGATCCCGCGGGGCCTGGTGACGGTTCGGGGCAGGAGGGGCCGGGTCCCTGGCCCATTTCCCCCCGGATTTGTGGCAGAAAACTCCCTTCCCACC